CTTCCCAGTTGTTCCTCCTGGTTTATCAGCACGAGAATGTGGAGCCACCCACTCTGCCAGCTGCCACTTTGCCACTAGTCCCGTCCACCCAGCTGTCCACTCCACCCCTCCTACCGGTCTGGATGAATGTTTCTTTTTTAACTCCTTGGTTGTCAGACTTCCATACAGTTCACTTTTCTGTCAGTTTGGGTTACTTTTTGTTCTTAAATTTGTTGTTGTCCTTTTGGTTGTGTGAGGAGGCACAGTGTGTCTACCTATGCCTCCATCTTGGCCGGATGTCTAATTTAATTAATTTGAGTTTAAACAGCAACATGTGGCTAAAACTATTGTAGTGGACTGTAAAACAATCTGTAATTTTTCGTTGAGGTTACTGTATTAAATCCTAGTGATAAAAGTGATGGCGTTTAGCCACGAATGGCTGCACGTCGGTTTTTAAGAACTGGTTAGAATCGGTGTTTTCTTTAAATGGAATCACATCATGACGTTTTCTTCCTTTCAAAGAAAACCCCCTGTGAAGTTCCCGGCATGTGGGCCTGAAGCTGGAGGGTGAAAAGAATTAGGCCTGAAAGAAGGTCAGGGTTACAAAAGAGTCTGTAGACAGCGTGAATCTGGAAAGACAGGCTCTGGAGGTGGAATAAATCTCTAGTGGTGGTAGAATTTTAGATCCTTGGGAGCCAGCTGAAGAGGAGCAACGCTTTTTGTCAATGGACTGCACCCAATGTTCCTCAAATCACACGTGGCAAGTACTGACCTCTGTATGTTTACGGGGCCAGCTGGGCTCAAGAGGTAATTTACATCTTCCCCGCTCTCTGCCCATTAACCATGTAAATATCAATATGCAAATGTCAGCCACAATAGGCTTCAAGTCCTTTGCTAAAAATACATGGGACTGCAGTGGACTTTGAGCACACAGCCACATTTATGTCTTTTGCAGGCTCTAGATACTTTTGGCTTCATGGGTCCCTTCCTCCATTAAAAATAAAATCATTACATTTTACCATCCCCCTGTTATAAAGACAAATATATAAATATTGGATACTAAAACATTTTCCTTGACCTAAAAGACCATCTTTTTTTTCTTTTAGTTTTTAAAAGAAATTAAAACAATTTCATTGGCCACTAAAAGCACTGTAACCCCTGGGCCCCAGGCCTGCTGTGCCTGGTGGAGAAATCGGCCCAGTTTGAGAGGCTCTGTGTCCCTTCAGGGAAGACCTCACACTTGAAACTGGCTAGAAATTGCCTACCGTTAACTTAAAAGGTCACCAAATAGATTTTCTGCACAATAAATATCAATTCACTAAAAATCTTCAGCGAGGTTAAGGGTTCCCTTGAACAACATGAATATTTCTCTTTTTGTCCTCAAGTCCATTGCGAGTCCACAGACAAGCAGCTCTGGCACCACCTGTTGGTAGTGAGAAATGCCGATTATCAGCCTCCATCTGATACTGCGGTAGAATTTGCAGTTTGACAAGATCTCCAGGTGATTCATATGTGCATTACACGGAAGCACTGTCGCCTGTAACTTAAACTGGACTGTTCATCATTGGTAGAAATGGAAGAGATGATTCTCTTAACCTGAGGGCTGGCTCTTACCCTTCCAGTGTCAATGAATTCGGTTCTTTTAGTCCAGCTGTTCCCAATTTGGGTGAACTACTGAAGTCACCTGGGGAAGCTTTAAAAAAAAATACGCATCCTCAGGAGATCCTGAAACAATTGGTCTGGGCTGGGATTGTAGGAATCAAAGTTTTTTTTTGTTTGTTTTTTTAAACTTCCCGGGGGACTATGAGCACAACCCTGACAAGCTCTGTCCCCTGGTTTTGATCACACTGGCTCTTTTTCTCTATGTTCCTCAACCTTCTCAGCCTGGCCAAGCAAATGTATGATCCAGACCTAGTTTTGACATGCTCTATTAATTATCTCAAAGCTCTGAAGTGTTCTCCCAAAATATCCATACTCTGAAATATAAAGTGCCCCCATTTCTTGCTATGTCTCATATTACCTTCAGTCATTTAATCTTCATGATGGCAGTGAATACTATTCTTGTGCCCATTTTACAGATGAGAGAATGGAGGCTTAGTGAGGTTTAAACCTCCCAAGGTCATTCTGTTTCTAATTGACTCCAACACTGGACCCCTCCTCCAACCTATCATCTGCTAGTACCATGCTTTTATTTAGGAAAACACTGGTAATTTCCTAACTCATATGGTCAGACATGAGATTTACAATTATTTAATCTGTAAGAATTATTGTCAAAAGAAATAGAATGAAGATCAGGAAACAATTATGTAGGTAGTAGAATTTGGAGTGCTATAATCTATTCCAGAAAAGAGTGAAGATTGTGATATACATTTTCCTTCCTTCATAACTGAGGTGATAATTCACTTAACAAAACAAATAATAAAGCCCTAGCCAGGTGGTTCAGTTGGTTGGAGTGTTGTCCCGTACACCAAGAGGCAGTGGGTTCGACTCCTGGTCAGGGCACATTCCCATGTTATTGGTTTGATCCCTGCTTGGCGTGAGTATGGGAGGGAACCAACTGATGTTTCTCTCACATCGATGTTTCTCTCTCCTCAATTAAAAAAAACATATCCTCAGGTGAGAATTTAAAAAAAGCCCAAATATTAAATACTCCAGAGGTAGGGTTTTTATACAAATGTTAAATGCTCTAGAAGTGCCCTCTGCATTAGGATTATGGAGATTACTGGGATAAGAAATAGTCTTTGTCCTTGAAATGAGGAGTCGAAGAAAGGATAGGAACCTGGAACAGTCCAACATAGGACAGCGAGGATAAGCAGGTGTTAAAGTGTGTGATAAGGTCATTAAGCTTTCTTAAAGTTCAACGGTTGGCAGGAGGTAGGACAATGGAGGAAGGATTTATGGAGGAGGTCTGTCTGGAGTCTGTGAGGATTAATGGAGACCGAGAAACTAGAAAAGTCAGCACTCAGCCAGGACACTGGCATAAAACTCACTAAGAAGATAGAATTTTCCCCATTGAATTGCCAACCCAGTTTCTTGTTGGCTGAATGTCCCCTGTCTGGGGACTGAGAGAGTATGGAGTCTTTGGGTTCTAAACAAACACCGTCCCTGCCAAGTGCAGCCCTATCTCAGCGTCCCGAGTGACTTCTATGCAGCAAAGTCAATCAGATGCAAAGGGTTATTTACACACCGATAGCTTCCTGACTCATACTTTCTCCAGCTTCTTTTAAGGTTGCTAGAGTACACTTTGCTTAATATTTGAACCTAGAGAAATTGAAAGCTAAGTACTTATTTAAATATTGATCAAGCTCTGTGCTTCAGAGAAGGCAAGAAAACTGCAGAGAGCACGATTGTATGTCCTCAGCCGGTGAGGGTTTCACAATGGCTAGTTTTGCCTGTTTCTTTTTGTGGAGATGGATTTTGGGGGCAACTTTGTAGAACAGTTGTTTCTCCTTCCACATTTTCTTTTTTTTCTATATAGATATCTGACGGAATTAATGAAGGGAACAAAAAGGTCAGGGGTGGAGGATGGGGAGAAGGAAGAGAATACACAGTGATTCAATACTAGTGATGTAAAAAAAAGGAGAATAACAACAAAATACACTAACACATCAGTGTTTTTGCTCACCAGGGTCTGGAAACCATTTTTGTCTGCTGTGTTGATTCAGTTAATCTTCAGTGGACGGTTAAGGGCTGGAAATATTTTTAAAAAGGATTTTTAAAAAAATTTTTATTTTGAGTACCCTGAAGTTCTGACAAGGGGCAGGCACTTCTTTTTTCTTTAGATGGCAGTGCACCGGCCAGGCCTTGGGTTCATGGGCCCAGTGAAACAGGAGGGCATTGCCAGTTTGGATCTTTTTATTAAGGCAGAATCCCCCACCTCCGCCCTGGAGCAGGGCTGAGGACTTCAGACGCACCGCAGTGTATCCTCGTTACCTTCTCCGGCGTTTCCCTCATCCTCGGAACCTGTGTCAGAAAGGTGCGCTCAACAAGGTGAGGATGAGAAGGGAGGCTGACCCCACCAGGAGAGGTGGTGGTGACAGCTGGGGAGAGGTGCTCCTTCCTGGCTCAGTGCCTTGGTGGCCAACTTCCTCGGGCCACACCCCTGTGCTGGTCCTGGGGGTGGCAGAGCTTCACAGGAAAAACAAAACAGATTCACGATAATGACAAAACACATCAAATTGGGATTTTTGCCGTTAAGGTTGGTATGACTGTCTGTGGTAGGAAGGCTTGGTTGACAGGCTTCTCCACTTGGGGCTGTGATGGGTGTAACTGGAAAAGCATGTTCGCTGCATGGTGAGGGAGTCCCTCTCATATTGTAAAAGCAAGTTAGGGTTTTCATGAGAATTTTTGAATTAGGAAGACTTCCAATGAGCTACTTGCGTGTATGAACACCAGGAGAATCGCAGCTCGTCAAGCTTTGACCCAGGGAAACCTGAGCCTAAGATTTTAAAGTAATACTTGGACCATATTATGTCACAGGCGTGGTGCTTTGGGCTGAGGGCAACCTAAGCCTCCCTCGGGCCTGGCACAGCCCATTTCAGGAGCGGGCTGGCCTGTTCCTTCCACCGGCAGCACCAAGGCAAGGCCCCTGGAGCCTGGAGTGCCTGGGCTCCGCCACCAGAGCACAGCGTCGCCCTCCTCTGGCCGGGCAGGGCCGCGGCAAACCTGCACCTTGGCGATTCTTGTGGGGCGGGGGAGGGAAGGCGAGGCGAGTCCGCCACCGCCCCACGGCGGGAGGGGCTGGCGGAGAGAGACAGCGCAGTCGGGGTTTCAGGTTTCCTCCTGGAGCCGGTGTCGGGCGCAGCGGGCGGGCCTGGCCATGTGATGCCGGGCCCTGGCGTGGGGCAGGCCGGGGATCCTGTGGCAGCCGGCAGGCAGGCGCGACCCAGCGGAGGCGGCACCAGCAGCGGGCGGCACCAGCCGGGCCTGGGAGCGTGCCCGCGGCTCCGCCCCCTCCGCGCGGGCTGCCGCCGCCGGGCTGCCGCCGCCGGGCTACCGCCGCCGAGAGTTGGCAGCTTCGGGAGAGCCTGCTCGGCTCCGGCGCCCTCGGGCAGGGCGCGGAGGGCAGCGCCTCGCTCTGGCTGCGGAGCCCCTTCTCCAGGTAAGCGCTGTTTTGGTGGCTCCATCCTCTGCGTCTCTCTGCAGCCCTGGGTGGAAAACTTGGGCCATATCACCTGAGTTCTCGTGGAGCTACTTTCTCCTGGATCCCAGGGGCCACGAGGGTCAGCCGAGGTGGAGAGGGAGTCCCGCCGTGGGCTCGGCGGAGCGAGGGATGGCCGCCGCCTCCTGGTCCCTCGGGAGCAGCAACATGGCAAAGGGCTGTACGGCGTTGGTAGCTGCCGGGCGCGAGGTTGCTCCCGGCGCAGTCCGGAGCGCAAGGAGGAGGTGGCGGTAGCCCCTCTCTACCCTGCCTCGGGACCGGGGATGGGTGGGTGGAAGCCCGGCCAGTGCCTTTCGGATGCTTGGGAAATAAATGTCACTCCCGCGGTGGAGAAGGAAGATCCTTGGAAGCTGGGGTCTCTTCTACCCACCCGTGCCTCAGCTCTGGTTTGAGGGTGCTTGGCGGGGCCAGGTCTCCAGAAAACAGACTAAGCAGGAGCTCAGGACAGAGGCCTCAACATTTTTTCGTGTGGGAACACCTGCTGTATCTTAAAAGATATCTACAGTTATCTTGGTTAGGAGAGGAGGTCAGAATTTTGTTGGGTTTACATATGCTTATTTTATAAATTTGTTTGCCTCGAACGCCTGGGGTGTAGGTGGTGGTGCCGTAACCTTCCCATGCTTAGAGCTTCCATGGGGGTCGTAATGATGCGCCTGTGCTTGGAGGAGGCACCCTCGCTTGTCCAGAGCTGTGGGGAAGCTGGGTGCTGAGGCCACCTTGGAAACCCAGCTCTGGTTTCCCAGACACCAATTAGATTTCCAGGACAGAATCCGTCTGCCTCCCTAGGAACGCTCGGCGTCCACCCATTGGTTGCAGCTGGGTGGGTCAAGGAAAGGCAGCTACATCTGTGTTTGCACAGCGTCTCCCTCCTTGACCCCTGCCTGGGTCTCGCCAGATATCCATAGATCCAGAGTTAGGATGGCGGTTAACCACCAGATCAGTGCCAACTGGGTAGGAAATACGAAAAAGTATGACATTCAGAAAGAACTGATCATTTGGAGCTCAATGAGGTCTCCCGTTTCTGAAGATTTGTCATTGTATGTTCCTAGGCCCCGAAGGTGTCAGGGGAAGCAAAATCCTGTTCTCACAACAAAAGCAAAATAAAGGGCATGTCCTTGTCATGTTCTGCAGGTTGGTCTTTGCACGTGATTGTCCAAGCACAGTGATAACCTGGCCTGGGGAGGTTTCTGTGTATCTGTCTGGGTTTTTAAAGCACATGGGTATTTGCCTGGTCTTGATTAGTGGCCAAGCTAACCCGTCTCAGTCTTTGGAGGAAAAGAAACGAATACTGCGAAAGCCTGTGGAATTTCTTACAACATAATATTTCAATGTGGCATTCTGACGTGAACCTTCTACGTGAGTGTGCTCATTAACTTTGGTCAAATAGGAATTTGGGTAGCATCAGACCTCATATGTAGTGGTTAGGGAAACTGAGGCACAGCTAGCTATTGGGTGTGCTCCTGAGGCCCGTGTCCTGGCTAATTGGAGAGTGGAGAACAGAGAATCAGTGTTTGTCCTGCTTTGACTGTGTTTTCTTCCTTATCAAAACCTGACTAACCAAGAACAAGTTACGCAACAGGTGAGCCATTAGACTTTCCTTTGAAGCGCCTGTCCTGTCCTTCAAGCAGTTTAGAAACAATTAAAGGAAAACAGTAGAGGAATAGCCCTGTGATACTTTGGGTTTGATTCCAGACCCCTGCAATAAAGAGGGTGTCACAATAAAGCGAATTGCATTTTCTTTTTCTTTTGCTGGTGGAGGGTCTTGTCTTCATTTGTTAAAAAAAAAAATCATCTGCGAAATGCAATAAAGTGAAGCATAATAAAATGAGGTATGCCTAAAGTTGGTAACCAAGGCTTTATGAAATTTCATCAGGCGCCTCACACCTTTTTTTTAAAGAATCTTGTGAAGACTACAATAGAGTTTGAAATATTTTCCCATTGTCCTCTTACATAAACTACTGTGTGGCTAAGACTTAAACTGGGCAGGAATTTCAGGTGAGCTCTGATACATGACCTCCTTTAGTATATGCCATGTGAGAAGAGGAAATGTGTTTTAAATAGGTATTAAAGCAAATAGCGGACTATAATATTTCATTTATTTTAAACATTCTGTTCAGAGCTGGTAACCACTGTGTTCGTACTTAGCTCTAACTTTTTAGTCCTGCCTGAATTTATGACCGAGTGCTGCCTCCCCAGAAAAGATTTATTCCATAAATGTTGGAAGCTCCTTCCTGGCTGGGGCATGGCTAGGACGGTGCTGCAGAGCCCCCGATTACTCCCGCACTCCCAGCCCGCATGTGATTTCATTATGCTTTAATTTACTGATCAGATAGAACAGATCTGGTTTATGTAGGTTTTGTCTAATTGCATTTGTATTTATGTTGCTTTAGTGGAGCAGAAAAGCTGTAGGATGTTTTTTTCCCTGTGACCTTCAGTAAGATTTGTCATGAAGAGATGGGTCAAGCTGAGCAACTCCTAGTGAGAGTTCTAAATCGAAAACAGTATGGTATTAGAAATGCACCAAATTCAGGAAGTTTTGCCGTGTTAGAGTTGTACTGTGAATATTATACTGCCCTGTAGGCCTTGAGTCTGGGTTCCCTACATAGGCCGACCTAGGCTTGGGGATGTTTTTCTTCAGAAGCGCAGGTCCTCTGTGATGGAGCAGTTTGCCCTGCCTGGATGGAGCCTGTCATTTTGTCCAGGACTACAGTCCTCAGTTCTTTTGTTACTATCCTAGTATTAAAAAGGTCTCAAAAGCTTAAAGCAGTGTCACTCTGCTGTTTAGCCACTGGGGCAGTTTCTTTCCCTCTTCTTTCTGTGACCATATTCTTCAATTATATTCATTCACCAAATACTGGAGGGTCTACTGTGTGCTGGACACTGCTCTTTGCTGTAGTTCTCTGGACTGTGGGTTTCATGCTTAAGGCAATACTTTCCTGGTTTTAGAGTTTGTAGGACCTCTTGCATTTCGAGTGGGCTTTTGAACACTTGGCACTAAGAGATTTGGCTGGTAAAATTTCGTGTAACTTTTGTTCATGTGATAGTACATCTTAATTAACTGCAGTTTTTTCCCTTGAAATTTGATCTTAGGCCCAATTGTAATTTGTTTATTCCTACCATTGCAGCTGCTGGACTTCTTCTCCTGGATGACCAATATAATGAGCTTTGACATAATTTTTTTATTTGAGGGAAAGTTAAAAAGCTAATAGAACTGAATATGGGGTATTTGTTTCAGAGATTTTGGCTTTGAACACTTTTCTCAGATATATTTTTATTTGTCTTCAGAAGTGTCTTCTCTTATTTTAATCTTTTTCTTGATGATCAGTTTGAGGTTGGATTGCTGTAGAAAGTCAGTGTGCAGATAACGTTCCTCTAACCGTAGAGAAGATATCCGGTGCCCGTGAGTGAAGGCCCACACCGGGGGCTCGGTGACACCTTCCTTTTTCATGGCAGGTCCAGAACAGACTCTTCTAAAATCAGCACTTCAGGAACATTTCTGCCTATTTCGAGTGGCAGGTTTTGTTTGACTGGGATGTACATGATCATTCCACCTTTTAAAGTAGGCTTAAGCCCTGGCTGGTATAGTTCAGTGGATTGAGTACTGGTCTATGAACCAAAAGGTCACGGGTTCGACTCCCAGTCAGGGCACATGCCTGGGTTGCAGGCCAGGTCCCCAGTTCAGGGTGTATGAGAGGCAACCATGCATTGATGTTTCTCTCCCTCTCTTTCTTCCTATGTTCTCCTCTCTCCAAAAATAAGTAAATAAAATGTTTTAAAAATAAATAAAGTAGGCTTAAAATGGGTCCTGGCTGTATGACTCAGCTGGTTAGAGCGTGTTTGGATACGCCAAGGTGAAGTGTCCTCTCTGCAGGCTGAGGTCATGGTTCGATCCCCAGTCAGGGCACATTCAAGAATCAACCAATGAATGTATAAATAAGTGGAACAACAAACTGATGTTTCTCTCTCGCTCCCTTTAAAACCAATAAATGAAAAAAAAATTTTTAAGCTTAAAATGTTCATATGCTTTATACATTTCTTTATGGTATACACATAGATTTTCCTTTAACTTCATAAGTAGATGATCATATATTACATATATTAATAGAATTTATGGTTTAGTTCTTAAATTCATTATCAAACACTTTGTGCTTAAGGCTTGCTCCTTCTCTTCCATCATTTTATCATTTAAAGACATTATCTTTCATGAACCATAACAAAGTGGTTAGGAGGGAGGATTCTGGAGCCAAACTGTCTCATTCGAGGGCCCCGGCTCTGTCCCGGCCATGTGGCCTCTCCGCACTTCACATTTTCCATTTGTGAAGTGGGGATAATCGTTGTAACCTGCCCCCTTGGGTGGTTGTGAGAATACGGGGAGTAAATTCACAGAGAGCCGTTCTAGCAGTGCTTGGCAGGGAATAAGTGCCAGAAGATGGTGGTGGTTATATTAGAAAGGAACGGAAAGTAGACATTTAAAAGAACAGCTTTAGCAGGTTTCCCAGATTTCAGAAGGCAGTGAGATGTCAGTGTGACCTCAGGGGAAAGCACCTCAGGCTTCGAGTTCCAGGCAGGGATGGAGACAGCTGGGCCCTATCAGTTGTGTATTGTTGGGTGAGTGTGAGCTGCCCCTGGGTCTCAATATCTTAATCTGGCGAAGTGGAAGGGAGTCGACTCGATGGTCTCAGAACCTGCCCGTTCTAACATCATGAAATTTCAAAGTGAGGAGGGCGTTAGTTAACTCAGCCTTTGCGTTTTGGGCACCACTACCAGGAATGTACTGCCCACAGCAGGGTCCGCACTGTGCCCTCTGTAAGCATTTGAAGGGTTGAACTATTACGACTATGGACATTCCTCACCTTGATCACCAGTCATCAGGTTGGCGTCACTGAGTTATCTTCCTGGACTTAGCCCAGAGAGATTCCAGACATGGGAGTCTGGATCCC